TTTGCTGGAGGCTTTCTGGGGGTCTGCAACAGAAGAATTTGCTCTGTTACATTTGTGTAGTCAAAAAATGAGTGAAAATTAAGAGCTGGCTTTTTCTTAGGGGTGTGTTGGGTGTAGAAATGTTAAAAACCAGTGATCAAGATGGTCATAAAATCCATTCCCCCACCCAGGGAAAGGCTGTTGAAATTTTCCACAGAAATTTTTTCAGCAAAAAATCACCAAGACTACAGCAACAAAAACCAAAGGGAAATATTTTGGACTCAAATACTGACGTGATGCCTAATAAGAAAGGTCTTTGGGTGCTTCGTGCCCCCATTCTCCAGGGTCTCTGCTGGATTATATATACACCACAGCCTCCACTCATGGGGAGAAGGAGGCAGCTGCACAACAAAAGTCTGGTCGTGACATCTCACGGGAAACAGTCTAGCCAGGAAGACAGAGAATGGGAACATGGGGAAACTGCTACCCCACGAGGCACCAAGGCAGGAGAAGCAAGTCAAATGATTTCAGCTTTTGGTTGAAATATTTGGTTTTCTGACCAAAAGCTCCCAAGTCTTCCTCAGCAGGCACTTCTTACAACAAACCTCCTGTAGTCAAACCCCCCCCCCCCAAAAAAGCCAAAAAAGAAAAGAAAAAAGGATTTTTCTGCTGAAGACCAGCTTTCACTAAGGGCCCTGCTATAAATTCAAATGAAAGCTAGATAGAAACCAGTTACAGAGTTGCTACACATTTTTTAGCACAAACTTTGTAGCTGATTGCCTTTTTATACATGAATAAGTTCTTTTTATGGTGTGATAATTACTTTGCATGTGTGGCCGGTCTCTGATTCACCAGTGAATTGCCTAATCTATGTAACGTACAGCAGAAGCCTGAACGCTCAGTCTCAGTCATCCCTAGCTCCTAGCTCTGCAGACACCACCTCAGCAGGATGTACCCGTGCAACGTCCAGCCCCCAGAACAGAGCTCGTGGAGCCTTGCTTTTTACCTTGCTCAGCAATTTCAATCTCTCGGCGCCCAAATTCTGCCTGCTTTATGTTTTTCACACAGAAATCGCTGCTGCCTTTAGAGTTCTTCTGCTGCTTGTCCCGGGGGGAGGTCTCATCGTCGGAGCTGTCTGTGTACGAGGCAGCTGAAGAGAGAGAAGGACACATCACAGCCAGAATAAGCTACCTCCAAAAGTCGGATCCCCTGAGATAGGAGGGGGCATGTCCCAGCTACGGAGCAACTAAGAGAACGTGTGACCCCCTTCAAGAGTAAAAAACACTGAGGTTATGCAACACTGACACAGGCATGCACCAGAATTGGTTTGCTTCCCAATTCTGCGGCGATCAGCTGAACAGATCACAGGCGTGCTTCTTCCGGGCAATAAGAGCACCTTGAGGTGCCAATTCCTTTGTTTCTCTCTTCTTCCTCAACCTCAGCCCACTTTTCCTTCCACTGTTCATATCCTCAGGACCAGCCTTTCCCCTGAAGTGCCCTTCAGCCCTCTTTCCACCTCTTATTTCTGCAAACCTACCTGCTTCAGCCCTTCTGCCACATTGCTTCTCTGCTTGAATCCACCACGACCAGTGTCAACCATTCATGCCTTCATCTCCTCTTGCCTTACTATAGCAACACGTGTTTGTGGCCTGTCTAGATTCGTCTGCCCAGTTAGTCCTTGCTCTCTCTATCACCGCCAATGATGGGGGCTATTCCTAGTGTGAGCGCACTGCTAATACGGAGAGTGGGGACTGGACTGAGACCCACCTTATTTCATGCGAGTTGTCAAATTGCAGCTTAACGCTAAAAGCTTCTAGCCCCTACTCATCTAAGTTGGCTGTGTCCAGCCTCAGGAACCACCCCATGCTTAAGGGAAAGGACATAGCTGCTCTAAGCCTTTTTTGGGAAGGCAGCTTATAATTATAATCAATGAATAAATACATGCTAGTCCCAAGCAACAGGCCAGATGTACAAGGGGGCACCAGTGTGGGTTTTCAAGTGTAGCTACAGTCAAGACTGCAACCACTCGAATGCAGACCATCTTATTCCAGGTCACAGCCCCCTGTGCTACAGTTCTAGCAACTCATTTTACCAACATAAATGAGTTTCACCAAGCAAATTGTTGGCCCCCTTCATGTGCCTTTATCAGAGTAGGATAAGAGGCAGAAGGCCTCAGATAGATGCTGGGGGAAGCTGTGGTGGTGACAGCTAGGACACACGGTATATACTTACTGAGAACAACTCGCTGTACCCCCAGCCCTTCTAACAAAGTCTCCTTGACTGTTTCTTGCCAGTTCTCAGAAATATTTTTCTCTTTTCAAATACACCTTTTTTTTTTTTGGTATCTAAATAGCTTTCCCCCTCCTCCTAACCCTCCCATCCCATTTCTCCTGCATAGCTGGTCGATCTTCCTTCAAGCATTGTCAGAGTGGACCCTCACTCTTGGGATGCACTTAGTTTTGTCAGAGAAGCTAGGACTCCACTGGAAAACTCAGCATTGTCGGGTTGTGCGCCAAGAGACGGGGAAACTCCATGAGAGGTCACATGGGGAACTGCTCTTCATCTATTCTTGGGTCCTTACAATGAAACAGCAGGTTCAAACTCCCTCTGGTCTTTCAAAGCTCAATGGATTTTCACTCCACATATATTGTGACAAGAGTTAGGAATTATTCAAGTAGCATGGTCCTTCTGCAATGCTAAATCCCCTGTCTCTGACTGTCACCCCCTCTTTATAACACAGGGCAAAGGCTGCAGACTGGCCTGTTCCACTCAGGCTAAATCCATATGGTTTTGTTTCTGGCATGAAGAGACCACAAATTGTTCTTCATGTTAATCCTAGTGGGAAAAAAGACTTTCAGATCCCAAGATGAATCTGGGGTCAGAACTAGTTGGTGCTCCTTCCTGTCACTCCTGGATGAAAGAGATGCAAGTCAGCACTGGGAAGTGTTATGAGCTGACAAGATTTGGAAACTTTTTGTGGGTTGAATGGCCTGATAAGTTCCTTTTGACAATGTTCGTGGTGCCATAATGCAGAGGGAAATAAATATTCTCTTTATTAGTACTCGGGGGGCCTGGTAGATCCAAGACTGTAAGGAGAGGGGGTGGCAGCAGTGGGACCAGCTCCACCATGGGGGTGATGTATGGCTGGAGCCCCCAGCTCTGTGCAGGGCACCTGGGGTTGGGGGACAGGCAGGGAGCAGGCACAGCAAGTGGGGACTTCCTACCACCACCGCTGTCCCCAGCCAAACCTGATACCCTGTGCAGCCCCTCCCCACAGCCCCAGGCTGGGAGAGGACAGGAGGGGCCCTGGTGCTCCCCGCATGCCCACAACAGGCAGGGATAGCAGAAGCAGACTGGTTCCCCCCCTTTCTGCACCTGCTTCCAGAGGCTCCAGCTCCCTGCCCATTCCTGCCAGCCCGGGGACTTTAGCTGCAGGGGCGGCTGTGCAGGGTGCCAGGCCTGGCCAGAGATGGCAGCGGCAACAGTGTGCGGGTCCCTGTTTCCTGCTTGGTCCCCACACCCCAGCTTTCCCGATGCCCTGGGAAGCAACTGCACAGGGTGCTGGGCTCAGCCAACAGGTCCCTGCCCAGCCTTGTTTTTGGGAGTGGGGAGCGGAGGACTCACTTTGCTATACAGCAGAAGGGGGTGAAGCTGCACCCGCCCTGGGTCTGCCCCTGCAGACAGACAATCTCTCAGGTAGACAGAGTGGTTAGCTGTGTTAGCTCCAGTCAGGGAGAAGGCAGGGCACAGGGCTTCAGAGAGGCACGAGCTTTCGCTAGGCTGTGAAAACATAACTCTGAACCAGTTTGTCTCGAAGGTGCTTTCCTGACTTGTCTTTAATGTCTCAGGTGCAAGACCCTGGAGCCCAGAATCACCTGGTGCCTAAGGAAGGATTCAAGTCACAGTGCGGAAATTATGGCTTGTACCAGTGATCGTCTCCTTCCTCTTATCCCGCCCCCCCAAACATCGTCGAGTACGTAGCTCCTACCAGGAGCCCAGTTTCAGGTTTGGCAGGTGGGAGATTTCCCAAAGACAGATCCTACCCTTAAGAAGAGGTTTGTGTGTGATCCAGCGGGATCCCTCCCTTCTCATCCCAGTTAGGAAAGGAAAACACAAGGCTCCACTGGTCATGAAGATTAACATCCGAGGATGTTCAAGAGCTGACCAGATTTGAATCCTGCGCTAGGAGCTCTTAATTGCCAAAAACTTACATGCGACATGTTTAGATCCTGTTACGGAAAAGGATGATGTTGACAGCAACCTCGACATGTCCTTGCAAACCGCTCAGAAGACCCTTTGCGCCCTTTTATCTTTTGAGGACCCCAAGTTCTCGAGCTCTCTCACTCTATGATCACCGGTTGAGGCAACGCTCAGGGACCACAGACCGAATGAAAGTCACTGCCTACATCTCCCACTCCAGAAACAAACAGTTGGACGCAGAACACTGGAACCGTCCTGCCCGGCACTTCCAACTGCAGCGGAGCGCTCTCGGGCTGCAGCCAGACCTCAGACGAGCAGGGCTAACGACCTCTCTCGGTTCTCTCCCGGCAAGGACCACCCCTTGTCACCAACACAAACCTGAGCCGTGCATTTTAGCTTCCTCTTCTGATCAAATGTCTCTGCAGCTTCTTTCAAGAACTTGAAACCTTTCCAAAATCTCGAGCGGCAGGTCCACTGGACTTAGAAGAGACGCTGTACAAGTTTTCAGCACCTGGAAACACATCAGTTGTGTAGAACGATGCTACCGCTTGAGTAGGTACAGATCTTTAGTGATCTCCGTTTCCACCATCCAACAACCGTGTAAGGTGGATAGGTGCCTTCACGGCTTAAGAACGTAAGAAACACCATATTGCATGAGACCACAGGTCCAGTATCCTGTCTCTCACAGTGACACAGAGCAGATGGCAAGGGGGAAGAGCGTTTATGCAGGGCCTGCCCAGACTCATCTGCCCTCTGCACCGCTCCTCTTACAGCTTCCCGCAGTCAGAGGCTCAGTCAGTTGTAATCTGGAGGCTGTAGCCCTTACCTAACCTAGTCCCCTCTAGCGGTTTTTGAATCTAGTGCTTGAAAAGAGCGTAGAAGGCAGACCTCAGATGTCAGAGATGCTAAACAGGCAAAATGACTTCAACACAGGCTCTAGATGTTGGCCACCTCAGAAAGAAGCACTGCAAACTGCCAAGTGCTACTAGAAAGATAAGTTTTGGGTGGGACAGGTGGGTCCACCGCTACCAAAAGCAGCAGGATGCTGTTAGGGATATTTTCACAAAAGGCCAAGCAGTGGAGGAGTGCTCCCTCAAGGCTTAGTGATGCCTAGGGCATGGCTCATCTTTCTGTAGCCATTGCCATAACCACTGGAAAGGGCTGCAGTGCTCTGCCCTTGCAGACGTATGTCCCAGAATGGAAGACCTGCTTTAAGATGTGGAGTTCTGAAGCGCTACAGGAATGAGACAAATCTGAAGGATGATTCTTGTATACTGAATTGCTAGGCCCAGATCCAGACGTGCGCTTGAAAGCTTGTTTCAAACATCTCCCAGTTGGTTCAATAAAAGGTATCACCCCCCAAAAAATCCTTGCCTCTCACATATTTCCTGGACCATGAAGGCTACAACATTACTCCAACACTACTTGTTGCTGTTTGGCCTTTCCAATTTCCTTGATTACAAGGGCTATCAGAAAGATGAAGGTCATGGCACATGTTTCATAGACATTTGGGCTGGAAGGGACCCCAGAGGATCATCGAGTCCAGCCCCCTGCCCCAGGGGCAGGAAGTCAGCAGGGATCATAGGATCCCAGCAAGATAAACATCCAAATGTGTCTTGAAGGCATTCAAAGTGGGTGCTTGAACCGCCTCTGGCGGCAGTCTGTTCCAAACCTTGGGGGCTCAGACAGTGAAGAAGTTCTTCCTTATGCCCAGCCTGAATCAGTCACAGGGGAGTTTGTGCCCATTCGATCTCATCATCCCTTGGGGGGCTCTGGTGAGCAGATGTTCCCTCAGATCCTGATGAGCACTCCTAATAAAAACTTCTAGGCGGCCACCAGATCACCCCTGAGCCTGCGCTTTTTCAGGCTGAATAGCCCCATTGCTTTCAGCCTCTCATCATAAGGTCTGTTTTCCTGACCTCTGATCATGCGCGTGGCTCTTCTCTGCAC